TGGGGGAGTTCAGGGGCAGGTTCACAACCCAGGCAGCACAGATCACAGCTCAGACTGATGTCCTGGATGACCTAAAGAGAGGCGATACTGAAGCTGATGATCAATATTTTTCTTTATAAACATTTGTACTATTAATATGTGCAATTTGTTTTAATTCTGAGGAAAGTGAATATCAATGTGTGTAGAGAGGTCTGCGTGTGTGCCTCTAAGGGTATAGAGACACACACACACATATATATGAGTGTATGTGTGTGTATGAGAGAGAGAAAGAGATTGAGGAGAGCGGCGAGTGTGTGAGAGGGAGTACTAGTAAGAATGTGTGTGTAGGTAAAGGTGTACAGTAAAGTAAGAGGGTGTGTGTGGGGAATGCATGTTAGCAAGTATATATATGCATGAGATGTGGGAGTGGAGTATATGTGAGTGTACAAGCGGATCTGAGACTGTTTGGGGCGTTTGTGTGTGTGATGGAGGTGGAAGTGCGGAGTGCAGGAGCTGTGTTTTGTGATGGTGTCGGCGTGCACATGAGGTGCACAGGTGGACCAGAGGCTGGTTTTTTGTAGGTAAAGGGAGTGTTTGTTTCAGGGCCTGCTTACGAGACATGTGTGGGGTTGTGTGTGAGGGGATTTATAAGTATGTGCATGCACACGTGCATAGGAGCACACGTGTGTTTATGTCCAGCTATACACATAAATATAAAAACATTTGCTTCCAGTAAAGAATAAAAATTAGAAGAAACTGTGCAAAAATTGTTCATATTAAGTAATCTCTGGTGGCAGAATAAGAGGCCAATTTTACTTTTCTTTTTTGTTCTATTGTAGTAAAAGGGAAAAAATGAACACTTTAGTTTGTTTTCCTCATTCCAAGAACACATGAACGTTCACATGGTACCTTTTGGCAACAAGTAAAAAATAAAAATTGTGACTAACTAATAAATTACTTCTTGAAAGGAATGTGTTTGAAAATTGGGATCTCCCTTCTTAATGTATAACCAAACAGATACTGAAGCTCCTGGTTAGTTTGCAAATCAACAGAAGAAAACTTGTCTTTATATGTGAAAGTCGTCCAGATGTTTTAGTTGTCATAAATTCATTAATTTCTAGGTAGTCAATAATTTAAGTAATTACTAACAATGTCTGCAAGGCAAGGAAGGCCTTAGTAGGTTTGCATTAGTGAATCTGTGATACTAATCCAAAGTCCCATTTACATCAAACTGTTTCAGGTTTTCTATAAACTCAACACTTAAACTAGGCGTTAACAAGGATTATCAATGGATAGAAGGCTTTACTAAGCATTTTTTTTCCTTTCAGTTTTGTGGATTTTTCACTGGTTTTAAATTTGTTTTTTAATGATGAACATGTGGGGCTTATGTAATAAGGTTTCTGTTCACTGGTTTTAAAGCGGGTCATTTTCCCAAGTAGGTGAAGTAGGCCTGAATTTTCTCACTCATATTTCATTTGCCTTGCCCTGCCTCACTTCACTAAAAATATGATTTTTTTCTTATTCCAAGCTACAATTTAATAAAAGAAAATTCTGTGGCAGTAAATGGCTGAAGTGATATTCTATTTTTAATTTATTTCAAACTTCTCTGTTTTCTTTTTTTTTGAGACAGAGCCTCAAGCTGTCACCCTGGGTAGAGTGCCCTGGTATCACAGCTCACAGGCGAGTCTCCTGCCTCAGCCTCCTAAGTAGCTGGGACCACAGGCACTTACCACAAGGCCTGGCTATTTTTTGATTGCAGCCATCAGTTTGGCGGCCAGGCTGGATTCGTACCCACCACCTTAGGTATATGTGGCTGGCGCCTTAGCCACCTGAGCCACAGGTGCCAAGCCATTTCTCTGTTCTCTTAAAGTCTCTTTCCTATCACCAGGATCAGGTATCTGAATTCAATTCCTTTTGAATTGTTACCTGTGGGCTCCATGGTATCTGTGGAACTTTAGTTGGTTGCTTGGAGTTATGGATAACAATAAAAAAGTGATTCTGTTTATTGCACATTTTCTGCGCATGTAGAAAGCAACTTCAGCTATTAAAATTTCAACAGGGCAAACTCAATTGCAAACGCTATTAGGTCCCCCTGAACTCAAACAGACTTGGCTGCAGAACGACCGGTCATTCTTCACCCACAAAGGGCCCAGGAAGGCCTTTTATTGTTTGATCACTGATTCCCCCGTGTTTCAGTTGATTTCTCAGCGGCACAACTATCAAATAGACTTACTTCAAATGTCAGTTGGAAACTGCTAGGAAAATATTGACAGAAATGATCTTTAAAAAACCACCATGCGCCTTTTTCTAGGGCAAAGCAAGATAGACGCCTTCTACTCTGCGGCCGGGTGGAGCCACTGCTGCGGTTCGGTGAACACTTTATTTTCCCACTTGAATCTGAGCACCTCTGCGAGATCCCTCCTGCCGATCTTGCGGAGATGACGGGCCAGGAGGCGCAGTTTGTCGGTGGAAGTTGGGAGCGATTTTTTCCAGAAGCAAAGAAGTTCGTGGATCTGTTCTGTGAGATCATCCGGGTTCTTGAGTTTGAGGAGCTGAATGGTGCTGCGGCGTAGAGGGAGGGATGAGGACAGAGCCTCGGCCTGTTCTTCTTCTTCTGAGAGCTCCTCGGCCAGCCAGTGGAGCATGTTATCCCAAAGGGCTTCTGTAGGGTACAGGGGAACACTGAACATTAGTACCAATCCTCGGGGGATGACCTGGCCCAGCCTTCCACACCTGTTCACAGGAAATCCACCTGCCCTCTGTTCTGGCTTCTGAGCAGAAAAGGTGATTTGGGATCACCCAGGAGCACTGCTGCAAGCCTTTGATCCCTGTCATGGCTGGGATTCCAGCTGTTGCAAAGGGTGAAAAATGCTTCTGAAATTTTAATATATTTGGACAGGAGGACATGTGAAAATGGTTTCCAGGCCCTGCCCTACGTAGCTCACTGAGTTGGGTAAAGGCAAAACTTAGCATTTTTAATAAGTTCCCAGAGGCCGTGGCAGCTGAGGTCCCCAAGGAGGTTTTGAGTAGCCCTATGTTTTTAAAGGATAAAGATGTTTCTTTTTATCAGTACTGATGATGCATAAATTATACCAGCAAGTAGTCAGTCCTCACAGTCATCAGTACCTATACACACACACACACACACACACACACACACAAACACCAAATCTACCAGCCAAAAAGCAGTTATATACCAGATCCCTTAAACCAAGATTTCCACTGGAAATGTTTCCTCTGGGCCATTCAGACATGCAGACAGCTCCTCTGAATGTGTTCTGTTTACCCAGCATAGCCATTGTCTTACTCTGTGACTCCCAGAGATCTCCTATTTTTATGGTTGTTACTGGTTTGTTGTGTAATTAGAACTATTACTCTGAGTAAAACTCCTGTGCCCAGCTGTATCTTGCATCACAACAGTTTCTGTGTTTTGGTGTGAGCAAAGAATTCTGTCTGTCCTCTGTTACCTCTTCCTTCCTTCTTCCTATTTCCATAAATTGTAAGATTTTTATACTAAATATACATTTCAGTAAAAGCTACCCAGGAAAAGGGCCAAGATACCCTTGTTCTCCATTATCACTTTCAAGCCAGTGTTCTGCCATCACCACGCAATGCATTCATCCTGATGCCGGTGCTACCCTGGTAGGCTTTTCCCT